TTTTTTTTTTTTGTCCTTGCAACATTGGATCTCCCAGCTCATAGGGTCATCCCGTCCTGGTTTCAGTCAAAAGGTGACATGGCAGTGGCATACATTGATCATCAGGCAGGGACCAGAAGTCTTGCTGTGGCAAGAGGTAGAAGATCTTGTTCTGGGCGGGCCCTGTCTGCCATTTACATCCTAGGTGTGGACAGTTGGCAGGCAGATTTCCTCTCACAGCACCCTGATCTGAGGTAATGGTCTTTACACCTGAAGGTGTTCCTGGACCTGTATAACAGGTGGGGGATGCTTTAATATTGACCTCCTGGCTTCATGCTCCCTCGTCATTTCATGACAAGGAGCATGGAGCCGGCCTCTCGGCCAATCAGAAACCAGGGCGTCGCGTCATTACCTTGCTTCCTGATTGGCCGGCCAGACGGCTCCGGCTGGGTACCGGACGAAGGCCGCGTTCTCGGTGGAGAGGCCCCGGGGGTAACAGGCTGCACATACTAAGGTAAGGGTGCTTTCTTGTTAATCGGGAAGCCGGGTGGCTACTCTTTACACGCTTCCCGGCTAATCAGGAAGCCAGGTGGCGAGTCATTACACGCCACCTGGCTTCCTGAATGGGACTTCCGTTACTCGGTAATTGGTATTGGCGAGTACCGAAAAAAATTTATCGGTACTTGGTACCAAAATACCAGTATCGGTGCATCCCTAATTTAAATCCATTTCTTTTGAGTTATTGAGGGACACAGGTCCCACCCTTCTATTTCTGATAATGTTTCTTCCGTTTCACCACAAAAATGAGGCATGCTGAGAGTAAGTGGGTTATCCTGGCCTGATAATTTTATTTGTTGCATGCCAACAGTCTTTGAATTCCATGTCCCTCAATAGACAAATTTATTGTGCAGCTAAATTATGTAAAATTGATACTTTAAAAATAAAATTGCCTTTTAATATGGATTATTAAATTGACATTTGAATAGTATATCTGCTACATGGTTTTAAGTTGTCCTGTGCATTTGCTTGTTTGACTAATGTAAAACTTTCATACAGATCGAGGGAGAGGTGGCTATGGGGGTGATAGAGGAGGATTCCGAGGTCGTGGAAGGGGTGGTGACCGAGGTGGCTTCGGAGGAAAGATGGGAGGAAGGTGAGTGTTCTTGGAACAATCTGTGGTAATAAAAAAAAAGCCATAAGGGCCCATTCATACCATTGCAGTGCTCTACCCTGCATCCCACTAATGCAAGTAATGTGCATTTCTGCACACAATAGTGAGAAGAAAAAAAGCTTTTGCTGTGTATTTCCAGTTCATTGCCATAACCCACAAAAAAAAACCAAATGCTCCAGACAGCCACAGCAATAATACGTGTGCATTAGTTGTTTGAACCCATATTGGTACAATGGTAGCTTTTTTTTTTTTGTACCTAAGCACACACTGCACACTTAAGGGCATTTGATATAAATTGGATCCCCCCATGCCTGGGACACACAACTGGTGCATACACCAGCCCATAGACCCCCCCATAGCGGTATATTATGGTTGTCAGATATAACCCACATATAGTGTACAGACATATGCTGTATGTGGGTTTTCATGGGTACCTGGGGTACAGCTGCACACAGCCATTGATGTCTATGGGCAGCTTTATACACCAGCTGTTAGTCGGAGCCTAATCATTTTTCCTTTGTGACTGAACCTCTAACAGTTAGGATAGAATTTGTGGTTGCTGACTTTGTATTTTAGAGAAAAAAAACATTGATTTTGTTTTAATTTTTTATTCTGCTTCTAAACAGGAATGACTTCAGAAGCGACCAGCGCAACAGACCATATTGAGCTGTATTTCATCTCTTCTGCTTTACACATGGGCCTCATTCTACTTAGAATTAAGTTACAGATTACTTGATTTAGTTTTTATTTGGTATTTACCCCATAATGTGAGGATATGTTTTTCCCATTTAGGGAACTATTGGAAAAGTAATTTACACAATTATGACCCTAAATTCTTCCGTTTTGAAAATTAAAGTATGAAATATTGCCAAAAGCATTTTTGTAATACAATAAACATGACTTGTTTTTAGTTTGTATTTTCTCTTACATGCTTACCTGTGTTTAGGAAAATGTGTCTTAAAAGTTGCTTACCTTGCTCAGCCATGGCATTAGAAGTATGTACATTCCTGACAAAGTATCATAGATAATTAGTGCATTGATAACCACTTTTATATTACACCTGCTCATGTGAGCTAGTTGTGTGATGCATTTCGGTCCTGGAAAAAAATTTCCATCCAGCCCAGTCAGTGAAGTTACTCTCTTCCTAAGAGACATCCTCTTTTCAACCTAAAGCTGCCCATACATTTTTATAGATTATCTGCAGATTTTTGGAAAAAGTGCAACAGATTCCACCATCTACGCTAGACGGTGGATGGAGGAATCTCCCACTGGGCCAAGCTTCAGTATCTCGCTAGTTGGACCCACTGGCTGTCAAAATACCTGAACATTGCCTGCATCCAATCAGTTTGTTCAGAAGCTGAAGCTTGGTCCAGCGGGTGATTCCCCCATCCACACAGTTTAATGTAGATGGAGGAATCTGTTGCACTTTTTCCACCTGACCATAGAAAATCTGCAGATCTATAGGTGTATGGCCAGCTTTAGGCTTGAAACCACTTGCTCTAATTGTAACCCGTTATCAAAAAAAAAGTTTTAGATGGTATAACACTTGCAGAATGTCTGTCACTGGGCTCTGCCTGTGATGCTTTACAGAGTTTTGTGTGTACTGTTGGCCACAAAGTGCAATCTAGTTGCAGAGCTTTAGCACAGCCTCTGGTGTAACCCAGTCTCTGACTCTGAATAAGCCGTAAGTAGCAGAAATAGCCATGTAGGTCACTTTTAGACACTACCCCGAAGAACTACAAATCCCATCATGCCTCTCTACCTCTGGTAGTTTTCAGAGTCTGGCAATACCTCATGCAATTTGTAGTTTCACCACAGCTGGAGTACTAAAGTTGCCTACACCTGCAGTATGTTCTGTATCCAGCATACAGCATCTCACAGAAGTGAGTACACCCCTCACATTTTCTCTAGTCACCTTCCAGGACAGCATTAGAGAGATAGGCTCCTCCCACCGGAACAGGAAACGCATCACCCACACTTAGAATAAAAAGGAGCACAAGCCTAGCACGCTTCAGTTATTTTGTGTTTCCTCCGGCCGAGCAGGACATCGTAATGTTTGTTGTTTTCCTTAGGCCTTCGTGCTGGTGAGCAGGGGCTTCCCCCCGACAGGGGTACAGCAGAGGGTCAGTGGACCCGGGGTACCCAGGAAGGGGGGCTTCCTGAAATATTTTATGGTATAATTTCATGTGACGACACAGAAGAAATGACACTTTGCTATAATGTAACGTAGTGAGTGTGCAGCTTGTATATCAGTGTACATTTGCTGTCCCCTCAAAATAACAACACACAGCCATTAATGTCTAAACCCCTGGCAACAAAGTGAGTACACCCCTAAGTGAAAAATGTTCAAATTGGGCCCAATTAGCCATTTTTCCTCCCTGGTGTCATGTGACTCGTTAGTGTTACAAGGTCTCAGGTGTGAATGGGGAGCAGGTGTGTTAAATTTGGTGTTATCGCTCTCACTCTCTCATACTGGTCAATGGAAGTTCAACATGGCAAAGAACTCTCTGAGGATCTGAAAAAAAAGAAATTGTTGCTCTACATAAAGATGACCTAGGCTATAAGAAGATTGCCAAGACCCTGAAACTGAGCTGCAGCACGGTGACCAAGACCATACAGCGGTTTAACAGGACAGGTTCCACTCAGAACAGGCCTCGCCATGGTCAACCAAAGAAGTGCTCAAGCTCAGCGTCATATCCAGAGGTTGTCTTTGGGAAATAGACATATGAGTGCTGCCAGCATTGCTGCAGAGGTTGAAGGGGTGGGGGGTCAGCCTGTCAGTGCTCAGACCATATGCCGCACACTGCATCAAATTGGCCTGCATGGCTGTCATCCCAGAAGGAAGCCTCTTCTAAAGATGATGCACGAGAAAGCCTGAAAACAGTTTGCTGAAGACAAGCAGACTAAAGACATGGATTACTTGAAACCATGTCCTGTGGTCTGATGAGACCAAGATAAACTTATTTGGTTCAGATGGTGTCAAGCGTGTGTGGCGGCAACCAGGTGAGGAGTAAAAAGACATGTGTGTCTTGCCTACAGTCAAGAATGGTGGTGGGAGTGTCATGGTCTGGGGCTGCATGAGTGCTGCCGGCACTGGGGTGCTACAGTTCATTGAGGGAACCATGAATGCCAACATGTACTGTGACATACTGAAGCACAGCATGTTGCCCTCCCTTCCGAGACTGGGCCGCAGGGCAGTATTCCAACATAATGACCCCAAACACACCTCCAAGATGACCACTGCCATGCTAAAGAAGCTGAGGGTAAAGGTGATGGACTGGCCGAGCATGTCTCCAGACCTAAACCTTATTGAGCATCTGTGGGGCATCCTCAAATGGAAGGTGGAGGAGGTCAAGGTCTCTAACATCCACCAGCTCCGTGATGTTGTCCTGGATTAGAGAAAGAACTCCAGTGGCAACCTGTGAAGTTCTCAAGTCCATGCACAGGAGGGTTAAGGCAGTGCTGGAAAATAATGGTGGACACAAAATATTGACACTTTGGGCCCAATCTGGACATTTTCACTTATGGGTGTACTCGCTTTTGTTGCCAGCGGTTTAGACATTAATGGTTGTGTGTTGTTATTTTGAGGGGACAGCAAATGTACACTGATATACAAGCTGTACACTCACTACGTTACATTATAGCAAAGTGTCATTTCTTCAGTGTCAAGCAAAATTCCAATTTGAAATCTTCTGCCCCCATGTGCTCCAAGATGGACTCTCATAGTTTAGAGTTAGGACTAGACATGTGCACTGCCAAAAAATTTGTTTCGTTTTGTTTTAAATTTGGATTTGTTATTTCGTTTTTTGGGATTCGGGTGTGAAAGTCAATTCGGATTCGGACCGCACTATAAGTGGTGCCTTGGTGCGGCTTTCACATTTTCTGCAGAAGACGTGTATCCAAACCCCTGTTATTATCCTTAGTGGTGAGACAAGTTGTTTTACATGCTGGTTTGTGAGTGTGCCATGATGCCTTTCTACTGATTTCTTCAGTGTCGTCACATGAAATGATATCAAATATTTACAAAAATGTGAGGGGTGTACTCACTTCTGTGGGATACTGTACATGCTTCTATCTGTAACCTCTGATCACTGCTTTTGTCCTCATTGCCAGCCTGCAAGCCTCCACGTCCCCTTGCCATGTCACAATATAGATGTATGAGCCCCAGGCTGTACATGGATAGAGGAGGGAAGTGTGGCCCTCTCTGCTGAGCCAATGGAATACTAACAGGGTTATTCACAAAAGGGTGAATGCTCTGGTGAATGTGGGATCATTGTTCCCTGATCTATGCTTTTTCTCCCTGAAACTACTTGTCTGTGTCACAGGATTAAGATGGAAGCTGTTCTGGTGATTATCATAGCTCTGGACTGCTCCAGACAGATGTGGTATGCGGACCCGGTAAGACTTCTGGCAGATGCTCTGTGGTCACTGCCAGATCCGTCAAGATCTTCTGTCCCAAGGACCAGTTGGTCATCCAACTTGCATGGCTGACGTGCAGATTCTAAGTGATAGGGACATCTCTAAATTGATTGTTTTACGATGCCAAAAGCTCCCTCCCCGGGAGCTTCTCTGTGGGACATACTCTTTCCTGCAGCTGCATCTGGGTTGCATAGTATCCCCCAGGAAGAGGTCGTTGGATGATGAAACGTTTTGGGTGGGCGGAGCATACTGACAGTCGGCCATTACACACGAGGCGTGTTGGATCTCCAAGCAATTTAGTAACTTAGGTTTGTATGCACATTTTACCTGTTTTTAGAATTAAAAGTTGATTGTAATCTACAGAATTATGGAGATATGTTTTTTGGAGCCATTGTGGGACTGTCAAGGCGAAGGTAGTGTTGCCTGACCAACTTGTGGAGTGCTTGATGAGGAAACGCAAGTGACGGACCGGTTTTAGGAGAGTCTGGGATTATCTGTTAATTATATGGCGAATATATGGTTTTCCCTAACTGATGGCCATTGGAATCTGGTGAGTGCTGGAAAGGTTTCACAGCACTGTTCGTGTTTTCTGGTGTTGGATGGGAGCACCATATTAAGACGTTTTATATACATATTTAGCATAGACTTTTATCAAATTGGATGTTTGAGACTGGACACAGATCAATTCTGAGAACTATTTGTGATGGGTCTTGGGCTCATTTTACACTTATTAGCACTGATATGAATTTAAATGTTTTAAGATTTTATTTTATTTTTTATTGTATTGATCAACACTAGGGATGGGCTTCGCATTCGAGTCGAACCTATGTTCGACTCGTACATAGCATGTTCTAATGCTCGCCGGACGCCGAACATTATGGGATGTCCGCGGTCTGTTCGACCGCGGGACATCCCACAATGCACTGCGCCGTCCGAAACGGTAATTGGCTACAGTCGGTCAGGTGCAAGACTGTTCCAATCAGGGCTCAGTACAAATATAGAGCCATGATTGGGCAAAGTCACGATGACTCTGCCCAATCATGTCTCACAGCTAAGTCCCTGCAGCACACTATATAAGGCTGCTGACACCGCGGCCCTATGTAGTGTGTTGTAGGAGATAGAGAGAGAGGGTTCTAGTATAGTTACAGCAGATTGATAGAGAGTTATAGATAGTTATAATAGACTTCTGTGTGTGTGTATGTATGTAGACTTCTGTGTGTGTGTGTGTGTGTGTGTGTGTGTGTATATATATATATATATCAGAATGTCATTTTAGCTTCAGCAGGTTCTATACATCATACAGATGTGCCACTTTACGGTCAGTGAAAGGGGACCCCACAGGCACCATATATAAAGGAATTTTAAATTTTTAATGTTTCATTTTAAGTGATGTTAAATCACTGCTCCTTTTTAAAAATTGTATTTTTTAAGTGTTTTTTTAATTGATACATGTCCCCAAGGGCAGTACCCGGATCCCCATACACTTTTTATGGCCAATTAATTGCATATACGGCTTCAAAATGGGGACATTTAATTTTCTGAATTCTACCCCCATAGACTTGCATTGAGTTCTAAGTTCGAATTAGAACTTTTTCCATGTTCGAAAGTTCGAGTTAGAACCGAACACGGGAGTGTTCGGTTCATCCCTAATCAACACTATGGTTTAGAATTTGAGCGCAGTACAGGTGGTGGTATATGGACCTGGGTTTAATTTTTGCTCTCTGCACTGTCATGGGTCAGCTCTCTGCTCTTTCTAACTTGTTTCAGAGACTGCTGGCCTCTCACCTCCTTGATGTAAGACCTATATCTCCCATGTGGCTCCACCCATCCATTCCCTAGTGACTCCATGTGACCTTAATCTGGTTCCTGCATTTTCTTTTTTTTTTTTTTAAATCAGTTTGAGCTCATTAGATGTGTTCCTCCTTACTCCACCCACAAGGTAGTGTTTATTGTAGCCATCACCTCCTGAAGGCAACTTGTGTTATCATGCCAATCCTCAGGCCCAGGACTTCCTTCTTGCCTAAGGTAGTTTCTGCCTTTCACCTCAAACAGGACACTGCTCTTCTGTCCCTTGGTCCAGCTCCTTTTCACCAAACAGAAATTTCCCTCTGGTCCAGATGTGATTCAGGCTGTGTGAGCCTATGTCTCAGCTACTACTTCTTTCAGAAAGACTGATTTTTCTTTCTCTTTTTTTTCCCCCCCACCCATTTTGGATGGACCCTGGAGGGATGCATCTGCTTCTTATTTCACCATCTAAAGATTGGCCGTTATCCAGGTTTTTGCTCCCAAGGTATATAGTGTTCCACCCAGAGGCGTAACTGGAACCTTCAGGGCCACGGTGCAAGAAACCATGAAGGGCCCCCCTCCCCAACCTCACCGTGTGGTTAAAAGGTAGGTTGCTGAGGTCCCCAGCAAGGTCCTCAGACAGCCGTTTGTTTTAAAATTTTAGTGCCGTGTTCTGTGGAGAACGCTGACCCAGTATCTGTGCTTATGTACAGACAGGATTAACGAGGAAACCGACATTTATTTACAAAGTATTCGTTTGTAATGGTTAATTGTGACCGTTAATAATATACCATCCATGGCAGTGAATGATGGAATATTATTAACAGTCACAATTAATTATTTAAATAAAATACTTTGTAAATAAATCACTGTTATTTGTAGATGTACTCGATCTCCTGTGCAGCCCAGCTGAGACAGGAAGCACTGTGAGTCCAGCACTCCTGTCTCACTGATCACACAGAGCAGATCGGACGTTCTCTGGTCTGCTCTCGGCCCTCCATTGTGAAGTAATTTGCAGTGGTCTTGGGTCCCCCAGAAGCACGGGTGACACCAAAAACCATGGGGGGCACAAACATGCTGCTACAATTGATCTGGGGGCTGTATACCCACCCAGATCGCTTGTACAAAACAAGTGGCAGCTCCCCTGCTCTACATTTAGCTCTGCTTGCCAGCATAAGGGCTAAATGTAGGAAAAAATCTGCCCAGTGCTTCATGTCCTGGGTGATAGAAATTGCGCTCCTCTGGACATAATATTAAAATGATACACACAGAATATAATGATAAATAAACCAGTTCGTATGTGGCTAATTAACCTCCTTCTGCAAACCCACAAGGTGATTACACATGATATTGAAGGTTAATTAGCCGTATAGGAGCTTGTTTTTTTTTTAATCATTATATTCTGTATCATTTTGATATTATTGTTTCTCAAAACTTATCCTCATATTCGGCGTTATACAAAATTGTCCATTCATTCTGGGCCAATTCTTATGTTCACTATAGTGTTAAGTAATAGTGAACATAAGAATCTACTGGCATGTTATTTTGTACAATGCTGATAAACACACCAAGAATACATGTTAATGTTTGTGTGTAAAGATTTATGCTTAGTGAGAGCAGGGCAGTAAATATCTGTGGAGCTAGCTTGCTGGGAGATGAAGAACGATCTCCCTTTGACCCCCGTGTGTGTGACCCATCCCTCGCCTCCTTACCTTCTTCTCCATATCACGGCTCTCAGCAGCAGGGGAGGTGGGGGGGACATCCTAGGGTTGTCGGCAAAATTGCCTGATGCTCCGTTACTCGCTGCTCAACAACAACAAAACTTTAACCCGGCTGCTTGCCCACAGCTGAGCTGAACCGAGAGAAGAAACCACCTGCCCGGCGTACGGAACTGCATGTCCTGGGCGTTGGGCGATACAAATTCCGCACCCCTGAGTGTGTCATGGTAAATGCAAAATGTTATCCAAAACTGGGATAGAGAAATATTAGTGTAATATTCCCTAATATAATCAATTTCTCAATTTTCAAAGACATTTCGGCACACAGTGTGCAGGGTCTGGGCCTCTCATTCTTAACCCCGCCAGTATCCGTCGGTCTCTCTCCCTCCCCCTTCTCTGAGAGGAGGAGTGGGGGGAAAGAGTGAGAAACAACAGAGGTGGAAGGGAAGCATGAGAGCGACCGACCGCTGCAGAGAAGCTCTCAGCGTCGGTCGATCTTTCGCCCTCACTTTCTTCCCCCCTCCCCATCACATCGCCGGGGACTCTGTCTCCTGGGAAACACTTACATTTCCTCCAGACAGCCGACCTGCAGCTCCTCTTCAGCCTCATTCTATTCTGTTCACGCGTTTAAGTTCTAAGGTGAATGTTTTGGCCTCTCATGATGGCAGCTTCAGGCAGCTCTCGCGTTGCAGGCAGACCCCCCAGCTCCCTATTTGTTTGTTTTTTTAGAAAGACCATAGGATTTTGTTCACCATAAAATTCATTTCATGGAGTCCATTAAGGGACGCAAGTTCCTACTCTTCTGTGTTTAAAAACTTCCTGTGTCCCTCAATAGATTAGAGAACAAAGGATTTTTGTTGGCCATGCACCTAACATTTTCAACCACAAACATTTCCATCTTTCAAGAAACCAAGCTATACAAACGGGTTGAAATACTTTCATAACTTTTGAAGTGGAATTCTTAATTTATAAAGCACCATCATGTCCCCTGGCACTGTACAAGGTGCAATAGCACTATTTTGATCGAACCAGATGGGACCGCAGGGACCTCCAGGTCACACAGCTTACTAGTGCAAACAAGGGTGGCTCAATGGAACCCTGCAAGGGAAAAGATCCACCCTAAAACAGGATATCAGGGCCAGTGCTCAGGGGACCAGCTGAACTTTTAAACATCAAAGAGCAGCATCCATTGTAAGTGATTTAATCCGCATTTGAACTTAAATAAAAAACCTTTTGCCTTTAAAAGCTCTTTAAGGAGCACTGTAGCCATGATATTTCACTGTTGTCTCCACCTAATGTTAAAATTGGATGTTTCTTTTATATTGTAAGCTTTCATGGGCAGCGCCCTCCATACCATCTTGATTTGTATTGTAACTATATATTGTAAAGCGCTGCACAAACTGTTGGCACTATTAAAATCCTGTATAATAATACACTGCTATTTTTTTATTTTGCTTTACAAAACTGAAAGTATTTTGCACACCAAGTACTGCTCGGGTAGAATCCGCAGTTTAGCTCGGCTGATTCCCTGGGAGGTGGAGGGTTAAGAATCTTTAAAATGATTCATTCTATGAGCAGTATAGAAACAAGTGAGTTTCCTGTGACTGTTCCCAGACTGCAGTTGATTAGCAATGCTGCTTTCACATGGACTCCTCCTGCCAGCCTGGGGAGGTGCCTGAATCCCTGTAATCAGCGAAGGATGTGTAGCCGCATATCCCACTTCTAAGAGAACAAAACTCCACAACTGGATAAGTTCCCATCACAACTGCTGGACTGCTCACACGGCCGCCTTGCACTTCTGCTGGACAGAGAACTGCATTACCATGCTGGACTCCCTGATAATGGCAGAGATATGCTGCTTTTCTGAAGAAGTATAGCTTTTACCATAAAAATGGTCACATTCCAGGTCACACTGAAGATTCAATTCAGAGATGGCTTTAATTCTCCATAATACTAGGACATGTCCAAGTGTGCTAAAGGAATGAGTCTAAATAATACTGGCACTTCATTTTTGCAGATAAGGTGGTTAAGGATGCCGCCAGTTAATATGCCAACAACAGTCTAGCTTGCTTGTCAGATTAAACATTGGACCAGTGTCTGCGGGAGTGATGGTCTTATTCTAAACATATTGAAGCGGCTCTGAATCTTTCAGTTTGAGAATGAAAGCTGGAATTACCTCCCTGCTTCTCCTCCTTGCCATTACTTTGTGCTCATCTATTAGTCACAGCAATGAGGAGATTGTACACACTGCACAGGTAAGGAATTGTGTTTGTACTGCTGCCCCAGGCTGGCAAAATACCATATAGATTCAAATATTTTATTTATAAACATACACTGTCTTATTTTATTAAGAAATCGTGTTTATATGCCAAATATGCCTTAGTCTTCCTTGTACCGAAGAAAATATGGAGGCTGCTGTTGTGAACCAGCTTTTCTAAAACTGCTAGTTGCCTGGCTGTCTCTGGCTTCAATACATTGGGGGAATTTATCAATTTGGTTGCATCATCAGCATCTTTTTAAACTGTCGCATCCCTGATTTCTAGTGCATATACTGACATACATTTTTTTCATTTCTTAATGCCTTTGTCAAGCAAATTTTTCTCTGTCTCTAACCAAGCTCAAGCTGGGAACCTCCTGGAGGACAGAAATGCTCAGCCGACTTACGGTTATAACGCTGAATTATCTTTGTACTTTAAAAAATTCTCAGGAGCACTTCTAGAATGTGCAACAGTTTGGAGGGCTATTAATGTCCCCAATGCTGAATGCAAATACTGCACAGATAAGAAATAATGCAAAATCTCAGAAAACCTGCATTAAGTCGCAAACAAATAATATGTTGCAGAAACACTTCAAAAAAGACGCATAGCAGAGATAAAACGTTGCAGTTAGCATGACATTTTGGTCTTTGCGACTAAACATGTCGCAAACGAGTTCATTCAATTCTCCCTATGGAATCTCTTAGGGCTGCAACAACTAATCGACATAATCGATTATAATCGATTATTGAAAAAGTTGTCAACTTTTTCAATAATCGATTAATCGTCTTCCGATCAGTTGGCCCTGTTCACAGCACTGACCGCGACATGCATAAAATAAGTGTTTATAAATACTGATCTGCATGCAGGTCAGCGACTTCAAAAGTGTTACATTTATTAGATAAGCATGACAGGCTAGTATCATTTTCAGGAAAGGTCAGCAATTGTGGCTTATAGGTTTCCTTTCCTTTCTTTTTTTTTTGGGGGGGATTTTCAGTCATTCAAATTAATGGGTTGCCTTATACCAATGCACATTATTGCATGGCACTGGCACACTCATTAACACACTGTAATGAACCAGAAAGAGCTAAATGCCCCCTTAAAGCAGGGGGTGGGGAACCTCCGGCCCTCCAGCTGTGGTGAAACCTCAAATATCGTGACACTTGGAATACCAAATCATGTGCAAACAAAATAGGTTAACAGGTTCATTGTGTGAGGATTCTCAACTCCTTTAGTAAATCAGCCTAAATCTGTTAATTATTTCTGCTGTGATGTGTTTCTGGAACTGTAGATTGGTACGTTTATAGGCCTATAGCCCTGGGGACCCTGTCTGTTGATGTTCGCTCCTTGGATTAAGGGTTTTATGACACTGTTTTGGAGACTTGGTCAGCGATGGCGGTGGGCTAAGAAAGGCAAGTGCCCCCTGAGTGGATCATGGAAAATGTTCAGCTACTGATTTGACACAGTGCAGTTGATGATGACCAGTAGTAAAATGCATAGCACAACTGTTTGCAGTTATAGTTTGATGTAATCTGAAAGTGATGAACTAGCAAAAAAAATACAATGGACCTTTTCTCCCATTTTTGTGCAATGCATATGTCAACAGATGCGCTGAGGTATTTATAGTATGAGCTGAGAAAATGCTGGGTATATGTGTGGATTTATGTGCAAAGAAAGATGCACAATAATATATCCAGGCCACAAATACTAGTGTATAAAAATACATAAACCATCATAAAAAAAATGATCTTTGAACAACTTTTAATACTACATCTTATGGACTTCAGAGGCATTTTTTTCAGTATCGGGTAGATTGTTAAAGCTGAACTCTAGGCAGATATAAAAGGCACAAATGAATGCAGCTCTAATTACATCATTAGTTTTTATTAATTGATGTATTAATGAATACAGAGCATATTTTTGCATATTTTTTTTTTATGCAAGCAGTGGAAGTGCCTGAATTGGACCTGGTATCAGCCTCTTGCAGTCCCTGTACAGCATGGCTGGAGTGAGACACGAAGCATTAGTACAGGGAACCAATCAGTTCATGTATCAACAAGAAGCATGCTGAGAGGAAGAGAAAGCAGAGTGACCGAGGGGTGAGCTCATCATTGTGCTGGTTCTCCCTTCACTGTCCAGTCATAGGCTCAAAAGAAGTGGGTTCGATAATGCTGGGCATCTAGTAGCAGAAAAAAAAGTATTGTTTTAGTAATAAAATCAGCTTTTGCCGCAATATTCACCCTAAATCCAAAGTTTTTTTTTTTAATGGGCTATTCATTTCTATGTTGTTATTTTGTTACTGCAGTTCTGCTGTAATCAATTGATATTCCTTAACTTGTCCTTGCTAGTAGATTCTGCCACCCAACATTTTATGATTCAGCAAATGTGAGTCTTGAAATAATCTGGTAGTATATTGAAAACAAGTGGTAAAGACTGTCCATGTATGTTAAAGTAACACTGGAAGCAAACCTCTTTTCTGATAGCTGAACTCTGATATCAAAGACACAAAGGAATGCAGTTCTGTATTCCTTAATGCATCATTACATGTACATTTTTGAACACAAGCAGTGTAAATATGTGAAAATGACCTGGCATCAGCCTCTACCAGTCTCTGTACTAGACATGTAAGCAGGCAAAAAAATTTGCCTGCTTCATTATGTTGTTTTTCGGGATTCGGGTCTGAAAGTCAATTTGTTTCAGCATTCATATTTGGATGAATCCGAACTTGTTTGTTAATTTCGGATGAGTTAACTGATAATTACGAATGAAAATGTTTAACTTTTCTGCAGAAACAATAATAAAAATAAAAGGTGTGCAGTTCCCCCAACACTTCATACCAGACCCTTTAGGAATGGTAGGGGGGACCCCTGATGAAAAAAAAAACCACAAAAAAAACAGCTCTTCACTCCTGTCTATTTACCCTAAAATCCCATACCAGACCCTTAATCTGGGTGGCAGCCTGGCAGGGTAGGAAAGGGGAGGGAAGAGCAAGCAGGCACCTTGATTCTGAAGCATATATTTTTCAGTAGGTCACAGCTCTTGGCCTGCCAGTTTGCTGCCTCATTTATTACAAATACTACAGCTGCATGAAGAGTAAGTTTTTAGTTGGAGCTCCAGCGATTTGAGCTAGAAGAGAAGCCAAGAATAATGGGTTAAATGCTGCAATGTTAAAGTGTATTTAACATGATTCATTTCGGCTCTTTTTAAGCACAAATGATATCATATGTTTTCTCAAGACTTGATTATGTGAGAGCAAGAATCTATGTATGCCTCGTTTGTATATTACCTCATATAAAAAGGCCAAATGTTACACTACACTTAAGAAACAGCCAGTTCACTTAATCTGTTTCTGTTGATTTAAAGGGTAATAGGACATTTTAATTACACAGTTATATACATATGATAGCAGCCTAAAAAAATGTATATATGGGGAAGTAACGATTGCAGTGGCTAAGACATACTGTAGGTGTATGAATGTAGGATCCAATGTTATGGACTTAAACCTGCACTTGCACAATATAAATAAAGGCTTGGAAAATATGCCAGCTTTATATTCTGGAGCATAATGACCTGTTCAGGAAGGATTGAGATATAATATGGAATAAGCAGGTAAATAGTGCCATACATAGGCGTTAGAGAACATTTTGCATATGGAGGCACAATCGGTGCGGTATGGAAGTCGTGGTAAAACTATATACAAACGTAAGAGAGTGCAAAACAAGGGGCGGAGGGGTGTTTGGATTTCATTTTTTTTTTTTTTTTTACATTTTGAGTGAGTATATCTTTATTTTTCTCCCTAGGCGAAAATGAGCACTTAAAGGAGAACTATGGGGTTAAAGTGACATTAAACCCTCAGATTTTTTAACATAAACCAATACTGTAATGCTCTTTGCTGCTCTTCCTTTTATATCCTCATGTCTTCTCATGCTTGGGGAGAACTTCCCTTTGCAGCTGAGTGCCTCTTCCTGTAGTGCTGGCTCAGGTTTCAAGCCTATACAAACCTATACACAGACACCATGTATCCATTTCAGAGACAAGGCAGTCTGCTGCAAAACAGAAGTTCTGTCCAGCATGAGAACAGATACAGATTTAAAAGGAAGAGCAGCAAAGAGAAGGGAAACAATCATGGATTACAGTAAGGCACACATTACAGTATTGTTTTATGTTAAAAAATCTGAGGGTTTAATGTCACTTTAAGGCTTTTCCCCATAGTTCTCAGGGTAACGGGAGGACACAAACTAGCGTCCTCCTGTCACCCCAGGCTCAGTATACCGCGAGCTGCTGCTCGCGGTATACTGAGACGCCGCAGCTGAAGCGGATCCCGACAATTGTGCCGGGATCCACCCAGCTGTGTGACTGACAACTGGCTCTGCCTATCTAGAGGCAGAGCCAGCTGTACCCGCCCCTGCATGTTCCGCCAGTCAGTGCTGGCGGATCGGAGCGGGGAGGGGGGAATCCAGCCCCTCCCCGTCACGGCAGAGAGCTGTGACAGGATCGAGAGGTGAGCGAACGCCGGTATGTGTTCGCTCACCTACCTGTGACAGTCTCATTGTCACAGGTCAGCTAGAACTATGAGGTGAGTGAAAAGCACTCACCTCATAGTTCTCATTTTAACCCTTGCAGCACGGAAGTAGCCTCATTGCAAGGGCTACAAAATTTTGTGCCTGGAATTTTTCTTTTAACTATATCGAATTGTTGGCTTCCTTTTGACTTAATTATTTACATCATGTATATGATTTCTGAGGTTTATGTTTTTGTTATATTTTTATTTTGATTGATATTTTACAGTGTAAATAGTTTATGATGGGTTTTGTTAGACTACATTTAAGTTTACATTGCTGTAGTTAATGTCAGCCCTGCTTTGGGGCTTGATTCAATAATACTGTGAGAATGAAACTGACTAGTAGCTGACTTTGTGAGAAAGTTTCCTTGTATGTTTGTGCGAAGTGAACTGAACATGCTGAGCTACAATCCTCCTCAGTCCTGATGTGTCCTCTCAT